TCCTGCCTTCAATTTCCTGGGGGCTGATCTATGGTCTGGAATCAGAGAGAAGAGTATCCTGGTACCAGCACGCCCCACTGTTGTTCTCACTCTGTTCAACATCTCTTAGTTCTGGGTTATGTAAGTGAGGAACTCCCCATATCACTCCAGGATAACGCCTGCTATCCAAAACACTGAAGAACGCACAGAACCATGCTCCTTTGGGTTCCTGAGAGATGGGTAGGCAGGCAACACAGCCCCCAAAGTCAAGCATTTTCTCACTGATGGGAACAAACATGTGTTTTACTAGCCAGTGTGCCTAGTATTGGCAAAGCTGGCAAAAGCAACAATTGGTGGTACTGGACTAGCAAGTGCCTGGTGTTTTAATGTTTCCCAAATAGGCTGTTTCAATCACAGATTTAGAAGGAAAACTATGGCTCTTAAAGGATTTTAGCTGTATCCTCGTGCCTCACTCTAGCAAAATGGTCCCTTGGCATGGAGAAGACGTCTGATGTGATGTCCAGGCTGTTTCTGACACCAGGGGCCAGAAGGACTACAATTCGATGAGCCTCCTTCATGTGGTTTTACACTGATCCAAACACCCATCCACTTGGGACTAGGTTTATGTGGAGTTTGTTTTTTCTTTCGCTTTTTCTTTTGGACTAGGTTTTCAAAGCATGGCAAGCAAAGGAGTTAAATCATTGCCAATAGCATGGCTAATAACACAATGCTGCCTTATATTCATGAAATAGCCATTCTGGGGGAACCTAAACACCACCTGACACAAACCATGCTTCCTCATCCCTGCCGAGCAAGACAGCGTGTTAAGGTAACTGTGCTACTGCCGGCTCTCAATGATCTATTCAGAAAAATACAGGTAATGAGAAAAATTCAAAACAGGAGATAAGCTTAAAGTTACTTCCGTCTGATTTTAGAATGACTTGACTGACATTTTGGGTGGTTAGGTTGGGAGAGAATAGGGGGAGCAGAGAGGAGGGGGAGCAGATTTGCCTAACAGACAAGCTGTACGTAAATTCAAATGAGCTGAAGTCTACTAAACATAAATTACCTGACAAAGGTGGGGGTGGGGAGTCACAGGTGCTCATCCTCCACAGACGGAGAATGATTGGAAGCAGATGGCTCCCTGGCTTCTCCCCTTCTATACAAGGAGAGATTCGAACTTACTAGTTTCTTTTACTCTGTTGGATATTCTGAACAAGTGCACATCACAAACAGTTGAACTGATTTTTGCATAGGAATAACAGACAGGGAAAATATTTAAGACAAGGGCTGGCAAACTTCCCCATAAAGTGGCATATAGTGACTCCTTCATGCTTTGTGGGCTACATGTGCTCTACCACAACTACTCAGTTCTGCCACTGACAACGTAAAAGCAGCCACAGACAACATCTAAATAAAGGAGCGGGGACTGTGTTCCAATAAAACTATCTGCAAGGTTAAGTGCTGTGGCACAGCAAGTTAAACCACTGTTGGGGAGGCCTGAACCCATATTACAGTGCTTGTTCCAGTCCGAGCTGTTCCACTTTTCATCCAGCTTCCTGCTAATGCTTCCTGAGAGGCAGCAGAGAATAGCTTAGGTGCTTAGGATGCTACCACCCACGTGGGAAACTAAGAAGAAGTTCTGGGCTCCTGGCTTCAGCTTGGCCTAGCCCTGGCTATTGCAGCCACTTGGGAGCTGAACCAGGAAATAGAAAATCTCTTTCTATCTCCCTTTGCCCCTTTCAAGCAGATGAAAAGCAATAAGCATTTTTTCTAAATTATTTATAGGAACAGGCAGATGGCCAGGTATGACCTGCAAGTCACACCTGCTAATATCTTCTTTAACACCTTCTTTCATATCTTCTGGTGAGTCTGAGGCAGCATTTGGCAACCACAGAAGAGCTGGTCCACATGAGGAATGATTTGCAAAGCTTGATTAAACATCATCTTCACTCTTGGGACATGGAGACAGACAGACTAAACAGGATGGGTAACCCACAATAATTCACCTCCCAGTTCTGTTTGGTCCATCATCAGCAGTCCTGGATAACATGAAAGTTAGCCCCTAATTGACCTATCACGCAAAAGAGAAGTTAAGGTGGTATTGCAGTAAGAAATGGATTCTGGGTTTCACTTACCCACTGTTGGCCCTTAGCTTTTCTCCTCATTCTCTTTAGCCTTCCTTAGTCCTAGCCCAGGATCATAAATGTGAAGTTGCTGCTTTCTGAAGACATCCCTTATGGATTAATGAGCACAGAAGGTAAATCCCATTCTATGCCACCATCCTTTAGACAAGATCTAGAATATCTTGTCACGAGCACAGCAGGGTATGCAGGAGGGAGATAACTGCACAGCCCTGAGGTTACATCACTTTGAGATGGAAAACAGAAACGGTGATGAAACATAATTGTTCCTGAAACCCAGTCCCAGCTTACAAACCATTTTTTTTAAAAAAACAGTTGGGTTTCAGAGTCCTGTTTGGAAAGCTCATTTTAAAAGATGAGGGAATAAAAATGCAGGAGGAGGCCCTGAAATTCTGAAACCTGCAGTACTGGTTTCAGACCAATCTGGGTTTGCTCTTTGAAGCCTGAAAAGGCAATGGGTTCTGGCCAACAGTGCTCTCACCTTGGCTCAGGGGAGGGAGTAATAGCAATATAAGCAAAAAGCAAACACTTTTATAGCACCCTCTGCGTGCCAGGCACTGTTCTACGCACTTCCCATGGATTAACTCATTTGATTCTTGGGAAACAGAGGTTACATAAGATGGGGGAAACTGAGGCATGGGTGCTAAACAAGTTTCCCGAAACCACCCAGTTAGTAAAGAACAGAACCTACACGCAAACCCATACATCCTTTCTCTATAATGTCATTCTATTATAGGGATACGACTACAGGAAGTTTCCCTATATTACACAGACCGCCCCTTCCTCCCCAAACTGACCCATAGGAACCCAGTTCTTCAGCTTCCCAAGGTCAAAGAATGGAAATAAACCTCAATACAAGACTAGATGTGCCCTCAGACCAAAGTCCCTAATTTCTGGCCACAAACAAGTCCACAGGTACACGTTATGCTCCCATTTTTCTCTCCTGCCTTATTTAAAATCTTCAGACAAATTTACCAACCTTTAGGTCAATATCTTACTAACACCTCTGGGATATTAGCAGATGGGGAAATGATGGATCAACCCAGGCTACAAGCAAGTCCACCCTGCTGGTCCTCAATCACCTGACACGTTATGCCCAACTCCAGCTTCCCATGTTTTTATTGGTGTTAGGGGTCCCCAGTTCTACAAAAGGAAAAGGCCACGTGAAAAACCCAAGCTTCCAAATCCTATTTCCTTCTCTTCTATGGCATTCATTTGTCCATATAACAGCTTTGTAGGAGACACAAAATCACAACCATTAAAATTGGACTACTCATCAATTCCTGGCTCCTTAACAAGCAAGCAGGCATTCTGCCGGTGTCTACTACAAATATCAAAGGCTCAGGTGCTTGCTGTTCTACTAACTTCCCTGGGTTTTAAGGAAGCCCAAACAAAACCACCAAGTGTGTAGTCTTGTGGCTTGTTTTGTAGCTTATCATAAGCATGAGTCTGAGAATTGCATAGCTCTCCCCCACCAGATTCTATACATATTTGTACTTATTGGTCACCATCTTGTTCCCAGATTTGACCAAGTTTTCTGTGCTCCAAGATGTCCTGCTGACACAAACAGTGAGCTCCAGACATGTCTGGGGGCTTGCTAACTCAGAGACCTGCCTAATCTCGTTCCTATCTAGTAAGGCACTATGGCAACTATGCTTGCACAAGAGGGATATGCAGCAACTAAGCTTAGTAATCACCTAAAGCTCAAGTGACTCTGGTGGAGAGAATGTCATTGACCATTAGGATGGCAGGGACCATGGCTTTTGTACATTGGGTACAGACTTGGGGTTTGGACACGTGCAATGATCTTTACACATCTGGTGTGAATCAAACACCAGCTTCACTTTCAGCGGAGTGCCAACCTCCTCATAGAAGTAGGTTCCTTTTCCCGTTCTTAAATGTCTGCTTTAGAGAGAATCTCGAATGTGACAACAAGGTGAAGCATGCTCCTCCCTCATTTCCCCCAACACACACAACATCAAGCTGCTGTTTAGAAACCGTTTCTGTCCTGCTCACCAAGTGGGGGTATTGGCCACGGCACATTTGGTCCCAGCCCTCACCCCACTGCCACGTTGGACAAGAACAGCCTTGATGGAGGTAGGAGGAAGAGGCAGGGGGACAAACTGTCCAACTCCTATACGCACATACACTAGGGCAATAGCTGGCCGGAATGAGACAGCCATATTAAAGATCGTCAATGAGCTGGGAACGAACAACTTCTGGTGCCACAGGGAGAGGAATGCAGGGAATCGGGAGCTTAAGAGTTTGCACGGCAGGAAAAGCCGTTAAAACAACTTACTGCACCGAGATGTAAAGAAACCAGCTCCACGAGATAGTATAAAGGGCAGCGAAAGTGAAGTGACGGAGAAAGAACTCAAGCGCGGTGCAAAGATGCTGGGGCCAAACTCCAGCTGGAGAAGCAACACATGGCTCCAGCGGAGCTCGGCTCCGTGCCCCTCCCCCCTCCGTGCGGGGCGTCCAGCGCCCACCGGCGGCTGTGCGCTCCCGGACTCAGCACTCGGCACAGGGCGCCCCCACCACGCGCCACTCAACTCCTCGCTCTTACCCCTTTCAGCTTCCACTTACCCCCACGCGATACTCTGCCCACTTTTCGGTTACGCCCCCAAGCCAGCCTCCATCTCCCAGGGCCCTGCCCCCTCTTCTCCTCTGGGCTCCGACTCCCTGCACCCTCGATCCCGAGAGTGCACTCCAACGTTCACAGCTCCACGTTCTCACGCACTCCCATTTTCTCTTCTCTCGCCCCATCCACTCTGCCACTCATACTTCTTTCGGCACCCCTCCCCTCCCCCTTCCAGCACGCGTCCCCCTCCCCCAACAGCTCCTCCTCCCCCGGTACCCACTCCAGGCCCAGCTCACCTGCGCGGCCACCCACGTCCCGACGCTGGTGAGGCTGCTGCAGCTGGAAAGGGACCGTTGCCCTGAGCGGCTGCAGCCCAGCCCGGGAGGAACCGGAGGGGACTGGGGGAGAGCAACCCAGCCTGAGTCCTCCGGCCCCTCCGCGACCCGGACCCCATGCACCTCCGCCTCTGCCGCCCGCTGCGGCCCCCGCCATCGCCCACCCGGCTGCCCGCCTGCACCGGTCCCGCAGCAAGCCCCACACAGCCCCCAACCACCGCGACCGCTGCTTATCTGCTCTACGGGGCGGAGACCGGCCCCCTCAGCTCAAGAGTTCTTATTGGCCTACGGAGCCCCAGAACCCCCCTTCCAACCAATTCAAGGCTTGCTCTCCCCTTTCCAGAGGACGATTGGTCGATGTACCTAGCGATCCAAGTCAAGACCCCACCCACGCTCCACCCCTGGAGGCTGTCCTCCATCTGAGAGGCCGTTGATTGGTCCCATTGGCAGAGGGCTGGTTCACCGATGCTGCCAATGAGAAGACACAGAAAAGGGGAGCGTCACACCCAGTCCCAGGTAGTATGCAAATATGATGTCACGTGACATCAGGCTAAGTGGGGGGGCGAGGGCGGGTGTAGATTGGCATCTAACACTAGTGAAAATAAATCATTATTGGGGTGGAAGGTGCGAAGAAGTGTCAAACTTCATGCAATTTAATCCCAGGCAGCACGGAAAAGACATAACTTCAAAAAGCATTTGTTTTCTATCCTCATAGGAACTCAAAGTTAATTGCAAGCTCCAGACTATAAATTAATGCAAGGAGTCTATAAATTAATGCAAGGTTTGCATATAATTTGCATGAAATTTGTGTTATATTCGTGCACTTAGTGGCTACTTTGCATCGTGTGACACCCATATTTTTCTTTCTCCACGTTTCCAAGTTCCTACTTGGTGTTCATCCAATATTTAAAATAAAACATTAAAATTTAAAAAAAAAATCTGTTAGCTTATAACTTAAATTGGGACTCCGAAAAAGAGCAGGGAATTTCCCTTCAGAGCTGTCCATTCCAGTTCTAGCTAAGCAGTGTGGAAGGAACAAAGTTCCTCGGTGACTCCATTAGCAAATCCTGGTCTTCCCCGTTCAGTGCTCCCTGACCTATAAGTCAAAATGAACCTGGATGATCCCCAAAGAGAATGCATGCAGTTGTGAAAAATCACATGCTAGGTCCCTGTGCAAAGATGACATGCAAATTCGTGAAGTGCTCCATATTTTAAAAGAAAAGAAAGAAAAAATCACATGCCACAATACATGTGGGAAACAGAGCAGCATTTAGGACATTATTAAAAAAAAATCATTACTCTTCAAATGAAAAAAATACTACTCTTGGTATTTGTTAGCCATTTTATTCTATATATGGGAAAAGCAAAAGTCAATCAATCTGGACTGTCTGTGATAAGGGACCATCCAAATAATTGGATAATTCCCTCCAGGTTTATATTTAGCTAGGAATTCTATTTTTGCTCTTGCTACAGATTTATCTTTCTATTTCTGTTTTTGCCCAGTTTAATGCTAAAAGGGAGGTATTCCCTGAAGGAACACTGGCTAATTAGAGAGAAGGTGGTGAGCTGGGAGCAGGGCTGTGAGGCAGAAGAGGTCATCCAGGGATTAAATATTGAAAGCACAGAATACCCAAAGTAGAAATTAAAAAAAGAAATGATGGGATATTGAACCTAGCCTACATACACAGAACGGAGGCAATGGAACTCCCCAAAGAGAAGTTTTCTGGGCAATGCACAAACTTTAACAGCTTTTAAGGATTTTAATTCAAGATCTGACATTTCAACTCTGTGTGACTGCAGGAATGTGGGACTTCTTTTCTATAAGGAATGTACAAAAGTGATAAAAATAAAACCTCAGTCCTTATAAACTTAAATTCATTATGTAAATAAACCTTGTATTTATATTTTTCCTCAGTTTTATTCAATTCAAAGTTTTCATATACTTAAAAAAAATCTTCATGACAAACCGGAAGAAGAAAAACAAATTCTTCTTAGGGTGCTAATGAGGAAATTGAAGTCCCTAAAGGTGAGGTACTAGCTCAGACGTCTACCACATTTTACTGGACCACCCTGCCTCACATCTTCATTGGTAAAATCAATAATGGTGGCATCTAAGAGCCATTTATTTCCTTTCTCCATCACAGGTTCATGTTACACACTGTGCATACATGATCTCAATGAATGCTCCCGATCACATCCGTGGGACAGGTATTACCTCCTGTTCATTGAGTCTTTAGAGAGAAGTAACATATCCAAGATTAATCAGGCAAGCCGACCCCAGAACTGAGCCCCACGCCTCTATTCTTGTAAACCTTTACTAGCAGCAGAGAAGTATGACTGTTCATATCTTACATAAACCATCTCTGAAAATGCAAACTGAGATATTAAAGTTAATATCTGTCTAGTAATATATAGCTGTCACATACATCAAGTCATCGAATTCTCACAGTAGGCATTTAAGATACAAGCATGCAAATAGTATTGTCCTTGTTTGACAGGGTAAGTCCAGGAGGTCAGGGTCACCCAGTAACTTATGTGCCAGGTCATCTGACCCCAGATGCAGATACCTTCCAACCAGTTGTCAACTCCTACACCACTGACCCTGCTTGTGAGCAGCAGGGAAGCTAGTTACTTTCTTGACATCCATTGCTGCCTGACAGCTTACGCTCTTTTCAGGCCCTTCAACAGATAAATTCCCAGTCTTCCGAGATTTATGGGTTGAATGTATAGTACGTGTCAGAGGTCAGAGGTCAGAGGTGAAAGCTCCAGCATGAGGGTTCTTGAAATGCTTTGGGAGACCGGCCTCCTCCTCTCTCTGGACCCGAATCACCCCTGTTCTCTCAACCTCCCAGACTTGTTCTAAACATAAAATGACTCTTTATGGAACAGATGCATTCTTCCTGTGGAGTGCGAAGTAGTGTGGGTGGTCTCAAGGACATGAGATTTAAGCCTTTTTCCAAAGCCACAGCACCAGGAAGTAGAGAAAGGGCAGGGAAGGTGGCGCAGCTGAAGAATTGGATCTTCCAAGCCCAGAAAGTCCTGGTCTTCCCTGATAAGTTGCTGGCAGGAGCCACTGAAGTTGACCTGAGCTGGAGGAGTGAGAAGGCAGGCGTGTGGGCAACCCAGGCCTCTTCTTGTGAGGTATCATGCCCAGGCAGCTGGGCCCTATTCCTTTCTCTATCACTGATAGCTTCTCCTGGCACAGGCATGATGGTTGGATAGAACTTCATCTGCGGATCAGCCCCTCTCTGTTTCCTCCCATGAAAGCAACCATGGCTTTGAAGAGCCTGTGGGCTGCCAAGAGGTGGTGTCTTAAATCGTAAACCATCTTCTAGTTTGCAGGAAAACCATTGTCTCTGTCCTGGCTATCATCCTCATCAACATCAACACCATTAGTTAACACCTTCATCACAAATATATTGAAATTATTACCATGTGCCAAACACAGAGCTAGGTACTAAGGGGATGATCATAATATTCAACTACAATCCTGAAGTTTACACATCAGCCAACCCTGAGGTCTGAATGCAGAAGTGGCATGGGGCTACACACACTATTCTCAGACGTGCACTGGTTTCTGCTTGCAGAAACACTGAATCAGAAACAGGCACTCAAACACAGTGACAATGGGGGATGACATATACCGACCATTTCAGCACATTGTTTTCCATCTATAGGAGACATATTTGTCTTACAGGGCTCCCACAGCAGATGTTCAAACCCTTGACCCCAGACTGCTTTTGGGATGGCCACTGCTGCCACAAATAGATGAGGACTAAGGAACTAGAGTTATTTTTCCTTCATATGTGGGTCAGAGTATGGCTGTCCCGCAAGCAGTTCCTGTGAGATGTAGGATCTACTGGGGACAAAAAGCTTAAGCAGTTTGGGCAGAGATCTGCAGATGTGACTTGCAGTGTGGCCTTATTGTCCTGGTCCCTAAATCCAGAAAAGCTGGCCTTCTTACAGCCAAGAGAAACTGGTTCTGGAAGCACACTCGGGCCTACAGCCAGGGCAACTTGAATTCTGCTCTGTGCATCCGTTTATGCCACAGCCATCAACAAGAGTGGGAGTTCCAAGGCACCATTTTTTACCCCAGCAGCAAAAGATTCACACAGACTAAGAGAAGTCTTGCTATTCCTTGATGCCTGGGAGACTGTCTCTTGCCGGAAAATGTCTTAAGTGCTTACGTCTTTGGCCCCCTAGCTCCAAAATCATTACACAGAAAATAAGATGACGCAGCCACATAGTACCTTTCGTCGACCTACCTCCTTTACTCAGCCTCTGTCTGAAATGTCAGGCCCGGCTCCTCAGGGAATGAGATCCTGAGGAAATGGGGTCAGAACTGGAGGAGCAGAGCAGCGGGAGCAGGATGGGGAAGGAGGGTTGCAGGAATGAATGAGGTTATGAGAACAGAGTAGGGAGGGGGGTCCTAACCCTCAGTGCCTCTTCCCAATCTGGTAGCCTCCTTCTCCTCATACCTCTTCTCTCCTTCTCTCAGGGTAACCAGTTGGCCTGGATTTCAACCTCAGCCCTTTCAGTAGCCTGCCAGCCACAGTCTATCTTCTTTGTTCTTTTATTTGTTCCCTTTCCTTCACTTAGCTCTATAATATTCACTTCTCAACCCTTCTTTTGCTCTGAATGAGAATCAAACCTTCTGCTAAACAGCAGCCTTTAAAAATGTATTTGTTTAGTTGAGAAGGGGAGAGAGCCCAAGAGCGAGAGAAAGAGCTCAAGAGCAAGTGACAGTGAGTGAGAACATTCCTGCGCTTCTATTTGCTGATTCAATCCCCAGATGCCCACAATGGTTTGAACTGGGTTGGGCTGAAGCTGGGGTCAGGAACTCCACCCAGGTCTCTCATGTTCGTGGCAGGAACTCATCTATTTGAGCCATCACTGCTGCCTCCCAGTGTCTGTATTATTAGCAAGAAGCACAAGTCAGGAGACTAAGCCAAGCACAGAATCTAATCAATCTCATGTGGGCTGCCAGGATCCTAACCCACAACTTTATTGCTAATTCAAATGCCTGGCCCTGCAGCCTTCTTTAAGAAGATCCCTGCTTCTTAAAAGTCCTATTTTTATAACAGGAATTCTATAATATTTCTATAAATTCTATAAATGAAGATTCCTGGGTCTGGTGTGGTAGGCTAGTGGCTATAGTCCTCACCTTGCATACACTGGGATCCCATATGGA